GCCCCCGCCCCCCCCCGCCGCCGCGCCACGTGCCGCCGCACCTGGTCCCGCAGCGGAGCGGGGGCTGCCCCCGTCGCTTGTACCTCCCCCGCGGGGAGCGCGGGTGATCGGTCCCGCGGAGCCACGTTCATCGAGTCACGGCGCGGTTAGAGCCGGAAGGGACCGTAAAGGGCATGGAGTTCCCCCCCGCCACGGGCAGGGACACCTCCCACCAGACCAGGTTGCTCAAAGCCCCATCCAGCCTGGCCTTGAACACCTCCAGGGATGGGGCAGCCACAGCTTCTCTGGGCAACCTGTTCCAATGTCTCACCACCCTCACAGCAAAGAATTTCTTCCTGATATCTCATCTAAATCTCCCTTCTTTCCGTTTAAAACCATTACCCCTCATCCTATGGCAACACTCCCTGACAGAGTCCTCCCCACCCCTCCTGTAGCCCCCCTTTTAGACTGGTCTCCCTGCACCTTTCTTTTCTCCAGGCTGAACAACCCCAGCTCCCTCAGCCTGTCTTCACAGCAGAGGTGCTCCAGCCCTCTGACCATCTCCACGGCCCTCCTTTGGACCCATTGCGACAGGTCCACATCCTTGTCACGTTGGAGGCCCCAGAGTTGGCCGCAGAATTCCAGGAGGAGGTCTCATGAGAACACAGACAGGCAGAATCACTCCTCAGCTCCAACCACTGCCATTATTCCATTTATTCCATTTTTCCATCCTTTGTCCTTGACTGACCTTGAGGCATAAAGAGAAGGTGAAGGTGCAAGCGATCTGAAGGCAGTGCTCACCTCAGAGAGAGCGAGGCACCCTTCCAGCAGTGAGCAGATCCAGGAAGGTGGACAGGGAGAGTCCAGCCTCCCTCCAGGAGGACCTATGGAAGAGCCACTGAGGAAGGGGCCGACTAACGAGCTGCAGGTCAGTTCATTACAAGCAGTCTCCAAGACTCAAGACTGAGCCTTCCTCCTCCCTTTCTGAAAACACAGAATACGTTTCAGTTTTGTGTGTGGTAGCAAAAACAAAGCAAACTTTCCAGCAAGGAAAAGTAACAAACACACAGGCGGAATTTAAAGGTTGGCCACCTCTGATTTTTGTCGTGTCTGACCAAGCTTCATTTCAGCTCTAGGCAAGAAAAAACAACAAAAAAAACCCCAACCAATCCAGACCACAAAGGACGGAAGACCAGCAGGACTCAAGGAACTAGATCCAGCTTGCAAACAGAATCACAGAATGCTATGGGGTTGGAAGGGACCTCTGCAGATCATCTAGTCCAACAACTCCGCCAAAGCAGCCCCACACAGAGCAGATCCCACAGGAACGTGTCCAGGCGGGTTTGGAATGTCTCCAGAGAAGGAGACTCCACCACCTCCCTGGGCAGCCTCTGCCAGGGCTCTGCCACCCTCAAAGTGAAGAAGTTCCTCCTCATGTTTAGGTGCAACTTCTTACATTCAAGTTTGTGCCCATTTCCTCTTGTCCTGTCACTGGGCACCACTGAAAAAAGACTGGCCCCATCCTCTTGACACCCATCCTTTAAGTATTTATAGGCGTTGATCAGATCCCCCCTCAGCCTTCTCTTCTCCAGACTAAAGAGACCCAAGTCCCTCAGCCTCTGCTCGTACAGGAGATGCTCCAGGCCAGGTCGCTAATCATCTTTGTAGCCCTAACAGATGTGTAACTTCAATTATGGCATCTCCTTAAGTCACCAGGTCACGCTTTGAAAGTCTGCCCAGTCAAGACTGGGTTGAAAGTGTCCTCTTTGATGTGTGAAGTAGCAAATGCACATTTTGGCATTTGTAGGGATTAGTTTTATTAGGTTTCCCACAGATCCCATTCTGGTATTTGCTTATGGCTTATTTTATAAATTTAGCAATGAAAATGACAGCAGGGCAAGGGCACACTTCTGGAACATTTACTGAACCTTCTCTGAACCAATGTCTAATTTTGTAATACACCTTCCCAAATAATAAAGAGAGTTTCAAAAATAACATCGATAAACTATGAAACAGAAATGCCACGTAAAACAATTCCAAGACCAGCAAAATGAAATATAAACAGCAAGAAAAGTCTTTATAGGTTTCTTCCATACTCTATAATTTATTTGATAATTCTGCACATGAAATGTATGAACATGTAAGTATTTAGATACTTTGTACTTCTGCCATGGCCATTTATTCGTTGGTCAACTGGTGATCACATTACCTCTTACCGAGTACACCGTGAACCTGAGAAAGAGGGAAAAAAAAAGCCTCAGCAACACGGAGAATGGATACAACGAATACGATTAGAAACATCTCACAAAATACTGTATTTTTAGGTGGTGAGGGGTATTCTTGGGGACAATAACCACTGCACACAAGTTTTTCTATGCCTAGTTTAAGCGATTCTTTCATGCGGCGTATTAATCGCTTTGAGGCCATAATCCCCCATAGGATTTTTGGCTGCCAGAAACACAAGTATGGTTTATTTTACACTGAAAAGGACAATGACCACATACAATCTGCACTACAATGCATGTCTACGGGCATCGTCCTTATGTGTACTATGCAAGTGAAACTGAGAAAAGTGTTTCCCACTGTAGACCTGTTAAAACAAAAATAAAATAAAATAGAGGCAAAGACAAGCTATTTGTAGTGACCTTGATCTCCTTGCCACTAAAGCACTTGTAAGGCACTCTTTTTGTGACCAAAATTTATTATAGACACTATAAGAGATGTGTTATTTTACAAGTTTGTATGTCCTAGACAGAAAGCTGGCAGCCAAGATGCACATATTTGAATAATGAATACATGAAAATATAAATCAGTTACCTTATCACTTTAAAACTGGGAATGAGGTAGAAGAATAACAAAAGCCAAGATACAAAGTATTAAGGAAAATAATATGGGGAGAAGACAGCCCAATATCTTGATTGCTAACAGAAGCTGAAGATCTGCAGCAGTTGTGTTCAGCCTAAGTCAAAAGTATCTACATGTACATACTTACTATGAGCAGCTCGTACACTTATGTTGTCTCTCTTGTTTTCTCCTTTCATATTCCATTACATCTTCATTGTGCTGCTTGAAAAGCTATAACAGAGCAGGATATGATAAAGGGCTATACATGGCATGTCTGGAACCAGAGAACAAAAGATTTCTACAGAACATAAAATTCCTGTTATCAGCATGCAAAGCAACACATAACTGCGACAATACAGAGTAAATCATTAATTGTCCAGTGAGGCATTTTTTCCACAGCTCTCAAACATTTTCTGCTGGCTGACAGACGGCAGGAGCTTCCTACTGTCAATCAACCATCCCAAAAATGGGAAAAAACCCCAAAGGGAATCCACCCCACCCTGGAAAATGTTGTCATCACAGGAGTGCTGCTTATCCTGCACATTTCTTCGTGAGAACCACTACACCCTGCTTGCTTTATCAATGTCAAGCCCATGAGTTCTCTGAAACAGAGAACATCTTACATTTGCATTTTGCTCAGGAAAAGGGGGTTTTAACCAATTGACTACAGCTGAAAAATTATAAGAGAATGTATTAATAATCCAATAAGCATAACATTACTTAGGCACATAACTAGCTCTTTTCCTTTTTTTTTTTTTAAAGATCCTTTTGGGAAAAATAACGTTAGGGCATTAAACAAACAGGCTTGAATAATTAATTCTTCTGTTGTGCCTGTTTTAAGTTTCCAACAGAGAGAAACTTAATAAGTTGTTTGTTTTTATAAAGAAAAGCACAACATAGATTTGGGAAAACTAATGAACACATCACGCTTCAGTCTTGACACCTGCTATGGCCATCCATTACCCCAACCTGCTAAGTAGGTGGTAGTCACTGCCTTCAGATCTCTATGGTTTGGGAATAGTTAAGTCCAACAAAACCAAACAAAAACACTTACAAGAGCCCACAGGGCAGCACTGGTGCTGAAAGCCAAGCCAACTCCAAACCAGTTTGGTTGGTCATAATTAGGTTTTTTTGCAACAAATGCAGAACGGGTAAAAGCTGAAGAGACAGAAGGTTACAGACGCGTTAACGTTTCTCAAGTTTAGACCGTGAACTCAACCTCTGACAATGGTACAATCAGGGGAAAAAAACCCCAAATAAACCACCCAAACAAATCCAATTATCACCTATAAGTAGTCGCTATAACACTGTTGTAGCTCGCCTGTTTGTCAATACGCTGCGGCACGCACTCCCTGATCTGAGGGAGAGGGGAGTGGGGATGCGGCCCTGCTTTTTTTCCCAGAATCACGGAAAGGTTTGGGTTGGAGGGGACTTTAAAGGTCACGGAGTTCCAACCCCGCTCCCACGGGCAGGGCACACCTCCCGCTAGGCCAAAACCATGCCCTAAACCCGTCCTTTGCTCGCCCCCCTCCCCTGCAGGGGCCTCCCGTCCCCAGGCCGTCCCCACAGCCCGCCCTGAGGAGGTCGCCGCCCGCTAACGCCCCCGGGGAGAGGGCACTCGGCTCCCACTCGCCTAAACCCCAACGGGCTCCCCGCCGCCCCGAGAGGCGCCCAGCCCGAGCGCCGCTCTGCCCCCCAACCACCACCGCCACCACCGCTCACCGAGGCTGGGCCCTCCCGCTACCAACCGCCAGTGCTTCGCCCCCCTCAGCGCCGCCGCCATCTTGTCGCCTCAGCCCGCCCTCCTCCTCCCGCGCGGGGGAGGAGCCTCCACAGAACCCCCCCTCCCCGGGCCCGCTACCGGCTCCTCCCGCCCCGGCGGCAGCCGCGCTGCCCCACAGGAGCCCCGACAGGCCCTGACTCAGCGGGCGGGCCGGGAAGCCGCTCCCAGCCCGGCCCAGTACAACCGGCGGGAGGCGGTGGAGTTGGGGGTGAGGGCGGTGCCGGCGGCGGGTCGCGGCGCATGCGCGCCGGCCGCCGTGACCCGGCGGGGGAAGCCCTCGGCGGTGGCCATTTTGGCGGCGCCTCTCTCCGGCCTGCTCGGTTACCACGTGAGCCGCCGCCCGGGGCTCGGGGCAGCCCGGCGGCCGGGAGGGGCCGGGCCGGCGGCCGGCGGGAGCGCGGCTCTTGGAAGGCAGGCGGGTGGGGTGTGTGTGTGAGGAGGAAGAAGAAGAGGAGGAGGAGGCAGCCAGGCTCTCGCCGGTGGGGAGGCTCCCGGTAGCGGCGACCGAGCAGCGGGGACGGGACGCAGCCTGACCGCCCACCCCCCTCCCCGGAGCTATCGTCGGG